GTCTCCATGATTGCTACATTCCCTACATAGGCTGCTGTAAGCCAGCAGCCAAATACAGAGATCTTCAAAGAGAAAATAAAATAAAACTGCAGGAGGAAGACCAACAAGAATGACTAGGTCAAACAAAGAAATAGCTCAGCACTTTCAACCTCCTCCTGCAAATAGGTGAAATCTTCAAGTTTGTTGGACTCCTGAGTAATTTATGTTGAGACAAGACTACAGAAATGCATTACATTGGACAGAACAGTAATGTATAATCGCTCACCCAAGAAGCAGGTATGTCTAGAGGGCAGGAAATGTCAGTTGAATACAGCTTCCTTTTGGATCTTTTTGGCTTCATCCCCTCCTTTCCAAGACTTTCTGGTTCAGGAGATTTTGGGGAGCTTACTGCTGCCATCAGCTTCTTGGCTAGAAGGAATTTGTTTTGATTCATAAACTAACCAACTTACGGATTTTGTGAGTCTTTATATCAACAAATACCAAAAGCTTCATTATAAACTTGGTTTATAAGTGATACATCAAGTTTAAATTAAAATATTCAGAAATTGCAATGGTCCATCAAGGGTATGAAAAACAAACATGACTCAGAAGTCGCTGGAAGTGAGGAACTTCGGCAGGAGCTAAACAACAGGCCTCACTTTTGTGCTGACAGAAGCACAAGGTGGAGTCAACTTCCTCTGCATACTTGCAGATTTTCATTCAAGTAGCAATGAATCTCGGAAGAGATGAATAAATGCATTTATTTCATAAGTTGAAGAGCAACTTACCATGGCAGACAAGTTCTCTAAGAATATATACATTCATAGCCTACAGCAGAAACAAGCCATTCTGCAGTGCCTACAGAAGGTGGAATAAATCTTACTTATTCTACACCAACCTTTAGAGTGAATAATAGAAGGAGTACTTTGAAGAAAATCTCCAACTTTGTGTAGAGTTCCATCACTCCTGCTAGTCAATCTTCTACCGGAAGTACATACTCGCTTTCTAAGGAAGTACTCTTTTCTGGATTTCTGTTTAACAGACACGTGAACAAGAAATAAGAGCATTGTTTAAGCTTTATTTTAGGTCAGTGTTATCTTAAGCCGACATTTTGAGCTTTGCTACTGACACCTGTGTTTATTATGCTAATGATATTACAACTGCAAGTAACGTAGACAATTTTATACCCTTTAGGGAGTTGTCAAAGTCTCAGCAATTCCAAGGCATAAGTTTCTTAACATTTGTTAAAGAAGCAGTAGTTTCTTTAAAAGTTAATCCCAAGCTGTGGAGATGTTTCTTACATAAGCTGTTCTAATTATAAAAAAATAAACAAACATACAAAACAGAAGACAACAGATTGGGAAAAACCTACTCTTCACACTCTTACCATGCCAAGGATACTCCTAAGACATTAAAACATCCCTTTTTAATCATTCCCATGCATACAAATCACATGAATCTCAGCTTAATACAGGGGCTTCACTTACAAAGCGCATGATAATACGCTCAGACTTCTCCTCCCAGCTATTCAGTCTGCGATATCCTTTCCACCAAATCATTCCACACTACAGCCCAGCCATTATACACTCTTGGGACAGACCAACTTGCTCTATGGTAAGCTTATGGGATTTAATAAGAGTTTAAGATTCCCATTCAGCTACACAAATAAGGATAAGACACTGCTGCATAAGAATGTTTACTCCCTTCAAATGGCCACACTATGACAGAAAGTCCCAAACTAGCTTCCAAACTAGAACAAAAACCAACCATTTTCTCGTCGCTTGTAGAGGGTGAATTACAAGCCATGGCAGACTTTGCATTTTTCGAGTTCTCACTTATCACAAAATCCTGGGAAAATAAGACAAGTTTTAGCCACAAATCGTTTAGAAAGATTCACTTTTCATTAGGTAGATCACAAAAGCAAACACTTTCAACGCTATTGCATTCAGTAATAGGGAGGTATTTGCAAGTAGTAACAATTCCAATGTGAATCAAATACTAAATAAACATTCAAGTGCACAAACGGGTTGGTAGCATTATTAAGATATCAGTATTAGACATCCTGTGATGAGATGCCATCCCCATACGGAGCGGACTTTTTTCTCCTTTTCAGAGGAAACACTCAGATATTTCACACAAAATAGAAAGCAAACGTATAAGAAGTCTAAAAAGCTGACTGATGTCTACGGATTTTCAAAGAAAATTCACAAGGGAGTTGAGATAAATTCTTTCCCTTCTCTTAAATCATTATCACCCAGCTTGGCTATTAGTTTAGTTTCATTAAAGCTTGGACTCTCCAACGCCAAGGTTCATCAATTAAATGCTTCAACCACTTTCCTGAGATAGAAGTAGCATTTTTTAAAGCTTAAATGAGGAATGGTAGAAAGGCATCAGATATTTCGTTTTCTGTTTGGTGTAGGTCATACCTCATCCATGTCATCACTTTTTCTCTTCTTTCTTGTCCTAGGCATTTTCACCCTTGCAGGTAACATGCTGTCACGCTGCTTTATCTCCATCTTATCAGGTTGCAGAGGTGACAGTTGGATTTCCACCTCTGGTTTTGGGAAACAACCAGTTTTTCCATTTTCTGTGGATGCTTCAGAAGAGTGGAGGTCAGTTTCCAAATGCTCCTGATAGCACAGAGAAATTTTAAGTGCAAGTGTTAGGGAAGCCATGAGATTAAAAAACTATCATGCATCTGGAAAAGGATATGCAAACACTCAGTATCCCAGCTGTTAGCTTACAGAACACTTCTAACCGAAGAAGAAGTTTGCCCTTCCTCTTCTACACTAGAGTTGCAGAGATCCACCCAACCCTGTTTTTCTCGGCAGGAACAACAGAGTCAGAGCTGTGATCACCTGGACTCCTCCTTCTCTATGGCAGGAATTCAGCTAGTAGCTAGCATATCAAAAGCAAGTTCAGATGTTGAACAGAACATGGAAGACGGGCTGCTGGGGACATCAGGAAATGGCAGATGGCTGCTACTACTGCCATAAATGCATAGAACTGCTACTTTACGAAAGCTAGCAAAGTTAGAAATCCTGCAGGGGAAGAAAACAAGTTCAATTTGCTGTGCCCATTTCAGTGGCTCTGTAAATTGCTTTCCAGGTGACTCATTTAATCATGAGCCACGTCATAAGCATCAACGAGAGGAAAGTTTTCAACAGCAAATAAGAGGAATTCATCACACAATGGTTTCAACAGCTTTTATTCCTACCAAAGGCTATGAAAACAGATGATCTGATCACCTTGAAAGGGATAAACAAAGCTTGAGAATTGTGTAGAGAACTCGAGACCTTTTCCTACTCATTCCTTATCAAGATCAGTACAACTACAACATTTTCAGATTTGAAGTTGCATACTAACCTCAGATTCATTTAATGAAGTGACACTGCTAGGACGTCGAGTTGATGAATAATTCCCTTTATCTTCACGTCTTCCTGGAATACTTTCTTCATCTCCGTTTTCAGTTTTGCTTTCTTTTTTCACAGCCTGTAAACATTTAAAATCAGTAAAGATCAAGCTGTGCAGCACACCTCCAAAATACTTTGAGTTTTCTAAAGTTTCCAGCGTAAAATCTCAAGCTCAGACACCACATGAACAAGTAAGTTGAAACACAGCACAAATCTGTGAAGGTAGTAACATCCATTCATCGTGTAATCTTCAGATTCACCCTACTGGGTCTCTCCAACAGCCTCATTCAGTACTCTACCTCCAAAAGAGACCAAGTCAGATGTTACTTAGGGACAAAATCTGTAATGCTGGTCGTCTTGTCATTCATTCAGCCCATACTCTCCGCACGCTCACAGCTGCTATGTTAGAATGCCAGAGACTAAACCTCTGCCTAATCTTTAGTGTCCACACATGAACACATGGAAAACTGAATGGAAAAGTTCCATTGCATATATACAGAGGTGGAGTTCCAGTAAATAAAATGCTTCTGAGAGGATGAGAGCACACGCCTGAGTGGAAGACAGAAAGAACCAACACTCATCACTGAATATGTAGTTAAAGGACTCTATGTTAAGAAAAGTGATTCTAACTCCTGGGAGATTCCCAGTATATCTAGGAAAACAGCAGAACAAAAAGGGATGAACAAGACTTTGAGTACATATTTTCTATAAATATAATCATACCTTTTCATTTACAGAACGATCCATTCTACCTTGTCTTTCTTCAAGTAAAGGTACTTCTGACAAAGCCTGGGGGTTATTGTGGCTGATGCGTTGTTTTAATTCCTTTATGAAGTCATCTTTGTCAGCCAGTTCTTTTCTTACCTCTTCTATCACAGTTTCATTATCCTAATAAACACCGTAAAAATTGCTGAGTTGCAGGATTGGCAAAAGGAGCTAACACACACAAGCAGCACTGCAGTTACTTAGTAGCAACCATTTCAGAATTGCAGGCTAAGGCAGTAAGCTAATCAAGAACAATAACATTTCATGGTTTTGTATGGTCACTGCTACAAGTGCAGTAGTCACCTAATTGCCTGGGAAGATGTATTACAATAGGTATTGAATTCTTTTCTTTTCTTCTTCTCTTGTGCTTCAGCCTTTCTCTCAAGATACAAGAATAAAAAGAGTTTTTATTTGTTCACGAAGACCTCTGTACTGTGAGAATT